ACTTGCCATGTCCTCCCAATTCTAATTATCCCATCTCCGCCCCCGCTTTTGCTCGTTGCGACTCCGGCCATTTACTCAACCGCCCGAGGTCACTCATGGCCAGAAATGGTTTTCCAGTTTTAGTTCATATCAGCCGACTGAGTCTTTGAATTGGTTGGACCTCATGCCTATTGTTCACTTCAAGTTGCAAAAGAAACATTATTATTTATTCGAGTACTTCCCACTGTTTATGACGATCCCCACTACCCGCAAATTCCCCTCTCAAACCCCAGTCCGACTGTAAACGCATGATCATGTCAGACGGTATGCCGCCCACAAGTTGATAATAGACATTATTATTATTATTATTACTAGGCCGAGATCCATACAAGCTGCAAAATCCGAAATTCCACATCTGTCTTCTCCCAAAACATCGACCCACATCTTCGCTTTTCCTCTCCACCTTCAGTAAAGTCGCTTGGTTCTCAAAAGGGGGGTTTTAGAACATTTAAGTGCATAACTTTGGCTTCCACGCAACAGGGCAGAGGTTCAGCCAGACTGTTAAGTTCTCGACCGGTCATCGGGATGTGTACGCATGAATTCCGGGGTAGTATGGGTGTTTCAACCAGGCACCTGTTTAAACGAGGTACATTGAGATAGTTTTTCCTGACCAACAGACTGCTACCCTCCTGGAGACTCTAGAGAATATTCTGGAGTCCAGATTCTGAATATGGTGGGTACTACCGTTTACAGTGGCTCCGGAGGCGCCCTGGATGCATGGTCTGGGAAGAGCACTGTCAGATAATCAACCCCCGCAAGCTGGAAGGCTTTAGTGCCCTCATCTTCAGTAGCACGTACGGGCCTGATATCTTATCCTGGGCGTCATGGCCTGCCTGGAGATATCGATACGTGGTAAGTTGGAAAATCACTAAAGAAAGATACCTTTGTGTCGTCGGACAACACCATTTCTGATAGGTGTATAATAAAACGGGGTCTGGTAGGCTGGTGTTGAGCCCCCCATTGAGGCAGTCGGATTTGGAGATACGCCCGTGGATTATCGCTAGGAGATTTGCGGACAACACCTTAAGAAGTTACTTCATACTGAGTTCAACGAGCACACACAGGAGGCTGCTTCTCGATAATGCTGGTGCTTAAAGTCCATCACCTTCTGAACTTATGCCTGGTTAATGTTGGAGTGAGCGTATAAGTGAACAGGTTATGGTGGCCATACTATAAGTTAGTAAAAGTTTTTACCATGATCGAAAGTGGTTGGTTGCAACACGTATAAAACTAAATGCAAGGCTTAATGTGGAGCAAGATGAATGAGGAAATTATCGTTTGTGAGAGTTTCTCGGTGAAAGTCCGGGCGGCGGTATGGTTGCCACACGTGTTCCATGACTTTCGGAGGACTTGTGGAAAGTGGCTGACTTCCTGCTCCCTGAGCGCTGGTCTGTGTTGGAGATTTGCGGACAACACCTTAAGAAGTTACTTCATACTGAGTTCAACGAGCACACACAGGAGGCTGCTTCTCGATAATGCTGGTGCTTAAAGTCCATCACCTTCTGAACTTATGCCTGGTTAATGTTGGAGTGAGCGTATAAGTGAACAGGTTATGGTGGCCATACTATAAGTTAGTAAAAGTTTTTACCATGATCGAAAGTGGTTGGTTGCAACACGTATAAAACTAAATGCAAGGCTTAATGTGGAGCAAGATGAATGAGGAAATTATCGTTTGTGAGAGTTTCTCGGTGAAAGTCCAGGCGGCGGTATGGTTGCCACACGTGTTCCATGACTTTCGGAGGACTTGTGGAAAGTGGCTGACTTCCTGCTCCCTGAGCGCTCGTGGGTCTGTGTTTGTTGTGTTCAGGTTTCCTATATGTAACTATGTTTGCGTGTACGTAGGTGTCGATACATGACTTCTTGCTACACGAATCAGACGGCAGTCAGTTGATGTGAGATGAGTCACCCCTGTGTGCCCTGATTTGTGAGTGTAAGCAGAGAGACGGATCTCGTGATCAATTGAGTGCACAGGTACGTATGTGGCTAAAAAATAGCTACAATTGTTTCTAGTCACAGGTTATAGTCGGCTCACCTTCTTCCGTATTACTCGCATGGACTTCCAAACACTCTATGGAGCCTATGTCACGTGGCTCCTTGGATACCCCAACCAAGCTGTCTAATCACTACACACGAAAGACCTCCCCCTCATCGAGTGGGTCCAGTGAGCCACTACAAAAATGATTGCTAGCCTCAAATTCATGGACAGCGAACGCGTCTCGCGGTGCTCGACCTCTTTCCCCCGGAGTATCGTCGCCTCCGAGGGGACCTAATTCTTACTTATGCCGTGTTTGAAGAAAGCCTGATCAACAGTTTTTCACTGTCGTTCCGGCAAACACACGGCGGGGATATGGTGAGAAGATTATCAAGCTCAGGGCACACACATTCATTAGGCAACATGTTTTCTAATGCCCGATAGTAGCTGCGTGGAATAACCTTACTCCGACAGTTGTCCACACTCCTTCTAGAACCCAGTTCAAAGCACTATCAGATATTTATTCGAGTCCTCGCGTTGGCAAACATACTGCCCCGCGCTGAGGATATAAAGAGCAGTGCTATACCTTTTTTCATTTATGCTTTTCAATTTAACAGCAGTCTCTGAACGACAAGGAGAAAACCGAACCGGGAAAACCCGGGCAAAAGCCTCGATCATGCGTATCAATCCGGGAATCCTTGGTGAACCTTGTCTGCCCCGAGGCTCCCGAGGGGTGCAGTAGTTATCGTGCCAGCATCGGGAGACGCTACTGACAATGTCGTTGTTGCAAAATACAATATGCGGTGGTCTTTATCTCGCTACGTGATTGAGGCGGGTAGGAAGCGGGAGGGATGAAATAAGAGAAAACATGGAAGGTACGAATAAATTAGAAGAGGCATGAGTGGCGAAATAAAAGACGAAAAAGGAAAAAATATGGAAAAAACGAAGAGTATAAGAACATACTTATCTACCAGCTTTTTATCTGTAACAACCCGGTGGTCCCTTAGCAAATTAGACACGAATCTGGACTAATCTTGTGGTTCAGGACCCCCTCTGATCCTGACTCAGATTCCAAGCAGCAGCGACCGACCACTATCATAAGCGAGTACCAATCCAAAAATTAGCCAATGGTCCAACAATTCCCAATGCTGAAACTGTACAATATGCTAACTACCGCTCCGGTGGATCTGCAGGCAATCCGTGGAGCCCGTGAAATGTATGGACCAATCAGCTGTCAGGAGTGCGTTGCGATTCCACTCGAATCCCGTCTTGTGTGCGGCCGTATTACTTGGTTGTGCTGATGTTGTTAACCTGTTTTTCACGTAATGGCGGATTACCCAAACGTCTGAAAAGTAAGTGAGATGTTGCCAGGTTGTCTCCTTGACCGTTTTTTCGCCGGCGTGTAATGCTAGGTGGCGATTACAAGACGTCTGACTGGCTAATGCTGTACAGACCTTCACCGCTTGTAAACCTCCGGCAACTCACCCTAGAGCAACAGCGAAACGTTCATGACCTTAGGGCGTACTAACTTGTTTCTGAGCGCGTTCACGATCGTCCATGTTGCTCGGTCAAACAGCGGCTAGCCGCTGAATGGGATTCTATCGGCTGGTGCTATTACCACAACCTCTTAAGTAATCTCTCGTTGGTTCGTTCCATACAAACTGGGCCTACACGATAAATACCTCATTTGCGACTGTATAGTTACACATTGTCGCTGGATGGCCCCTTAGGTGTCACTGATTTGTGTCAACAACACTCGCATCACATGCATGTAGAAACCGTGTAAGTCACCGATCGGTGAGCATTATATTTAAAAAAACATTGCACCTTAGGCAAAGGCGTGGTGCAACTGGAACAAGCAGTAAAAAACGCTGTTGAAGTGCACATGAACCAAAGTAAGGTTATATTTGTCATTAAAATCCCACGAAGCCCTTCATGAACTACTCATGGGTCACAAAAATGAAGAACCGAAAAGTTGTAATAGTTATATTCGATTCTATCTGACATCCCTATGCCCTTGTTGACCTGATAAATACACTGAAGTATCCACCAAAGGTCATGCCCAACACTACAACCACTTGAAGTTTCGCTGTGTCCACTGGGTGATTGAAAACTTTTATGCTCGAACTTCTCGCGGTCGTCCTGGGTGTAGCAGGTCTGGAGCGCGTGATATATGGAGGTTAGACGGTGTGCTGCTGGAGATCCCGCAGGTAGAAGTTCAGACTTTCAAACGCCTCCGTTGTTGGCGCCACCAGCACGTCCTAGGGAAGAGAGTCCCATGAGTGATATGCTGAGAACGAAGCAGTGTCCGCAATGCAGGTGACTGGGCTGGTGTGCAATATTCAGCTAGTGACCATGGATATCTTCTATGGTCGCGAGGGAAGAGGTCAAGGTAATCAGTGTTATTTAAGACTAAAAAATCAGAATCGCAGTTGTTGCGCATTTTCCAGTCTGTGATGAACAGAGAGTGGGTATCGAACTTGATGTATTCCCAGGTTCACCTAGACCGCTGCGGGAAACGTATCAGAGCCGCCACTGTCTGCTCAAAATCAATCAGGACGATTTGAGCCTACTGACACATTGGGTTAGCTTTAAATTCGCCGGCTGACCTATACATTCCTCAGACATGTAAACTGTTTTCCGAAAATTGCTTGGCCACGCCACTGGTGAGGTAGATGCCACTCGATATCCAGGAATATACGGCTCTGGCTCCATAGGTATCTCAAACTAACAAACCCGAATTGAGCCTTCCAGACTCGTGCACTGACCTCATCGGTCATACCACAGTCGGAACCAATACAACTTCTGCGATATGTAAAACGATTCCCAACTTCGAGTGCCATTCCCTGGACTGTAAGTGGCGTTTTCACGGACTGCTCATCGAGGTGCAATGCACATGCCAGTGAACGGAATGACTTTGGTGAGTTTAACAAAACAAAACCCTGCGTCTTCTCCGAAGGTGTGAATGATGTCGTCTGCATATTCCGGATCAACTAGGTTCTCGTCAGCGGTTATTTGAACACCAGGGTTTTTGAAGACCTTCCAACGTCCGTCCCAGTATCTCGTGGATCACAAAATATGGTGGGAATGGGGAAAATGGGAAGCCGTGACGCACGCGTCTGTGTATGGAAGCCTTTGGAGAGCTCTCTGTGTATTCTCACAAGCCGGGAAGTCTGAGAATCCAGAGAGCTCACTATTTCCAGAAACATCCGGGGCATTCCTTCTTTGGCACCTTACGAAATGTGAAAATTTGTTCAACGCAACCCCTATCAGGCCGAGATCCCGCATGTTGCTCTCGAGTCAGCATCTCACAAGCCACTGTAAGGCGACGAAGCACAAGTGACGCCAACAGTCTCGTTACGACGGGGGTCAAGGTGATCCCCCTGTGCTTACCATACTCACTACGCGCCCCTTTTTGAAAACGGGCACTATCACCAATTCTCCCCAGTCGGGACAGACTCCTTTTCCCAAATGCAAGCAAACAGACCGGACAAGCGCTGACTGAGGACTTCACCCCCGTCTTTGAACAGATCATCCGGACCAGGAGCTCGGTGGCGCCTGAGAGGACATATGCAGTCGTAAACCTCCGAGGCCGTAGGTGGTTCTACGTTCACCATCCAGGGCTCTACTTCACCTGTGGGCTGAGTGCCGGCTGGTCGCCGCGACAGTTGTTGTTCGAAGTATTCAGCCCACCGGTCGGGGCGTTCTTCCTTATTCGAGATGGTCGTTCCATTCTGACGCTTGATGGTTTCGCTCACAGGTGGTTTCCGGGAACCACTCACAAGGACCAACTGAAATATTCGGACATAGCCGGCTTTCTGGGCCTCTTCCATTTCTTTGGCTTTCTGTGTCCACCATATTTCACGGTCGGATCGCAAGTTCATTTTCACTTGACGTCTGATAACTCTCCGTGTCGGGTTATGTTCGGGACCGGCTAGGATAGTTCTTCGAGATTTAAGTAGTGACACCGTTCCGTCTGATATCCAGTGCTTGAGTGCGCCTGGTTGGGTCGTGCCACAGGCAAAATTCCCAGCACTATGCAAAGAGGTAGCAATC